TATATATATATATACACAATAAAACAATAGGCCTGTTTAATAGTTTGTTCCTGTCCCAAAATGATTTTCAGACAGATTTCAGTGCCAGCATGAAAACGGAAACAGATCCTCATGGCAAAACATTTGACACAGACTATTCTTGGAGACCTACTGGTTGTTATCCAGTGAGGAACTAGAGAGCTTTAACACCAGCTCTACTCAAACCCCAAAGGAGCAGAGTTTTTAAACACTCATTTAGAAAAAGCAAAACGTGCTGATGGGTTTTCTCTGTGTGTTTATTCTTCAGGCATGTTTCGCATCCTTGGTCAGCCAGGATTACGTAAACGGAACCGACCAGGAGGAGATTCGAACTGGTGAGTGAAGCCTTTAATTTATCTTGTTTGTTTGTTTCAGGTCGTTGTAGTCGATCTAATGCTGTAAAAATATCTGTCTTTGTGTCTGTTCGATGTGGTTGCAGGTGTTGATCAGTGCATACAAAAGTTCCTGGATGTGGCTCGACAGACGGAGTGCTTCTTCCTGCAGAAGAGGCTTCAGTTATCTGTGCAGAAACCAGAGCAGGTGGTGAAAGAGGTAAACTGTTACACCTGCTTTCTCATTTATCTGGACAGTTATGAAATGGTCCTCTTCAACTCAAATCCACTTAATTTTACTTCTGAAAACTACTTATTGTCCCTAAATTATTATCTGTGTAAGCACAAAACAAACTCCTCCTTGAGAACCGTTATACATGTCACTGCTTTTATTTCTTAGACCTGAATTTGTGACTTGCTGCGAGTGTTTACGTATTATTTATTTCTCTCCATTTGTTAATGTGCCTTCTCTCTTCTCTCTTCTCACGTACATTTCTCACTTCAGGATGTGTCAGAGTTACGTAATGAGCTACAGAGGAAAGAATTGCTGGTTCAGAAACATTTGTCCAAACTGCACCACTGGCAACAAGTTCTGGAGGATGTGAGCGTTCAGCACCGCAAACCCTCGGACCTTCCTCCTCCTGGACCGCTGGCCTTCCTGGAGCAGGCCTCGGCGAGTCTGCCCCCTGCCCCTTTAAAACCAAACTAACACACGAAAGGTGCGGTCACATTAGACTAAATAAAACATTAAGGAGGTGATGTTGAACTCTGACCGGCCGGAGATTGCAACATAATTGGAAACACATGCCTGCGTTCATCAACCGTACAGGCTTGAAGTGAATGGGAGATGTAATGTGACCGTACCTGAGCAACAACGTCATAAATCCTGACATGGATAGTTTCATTTCAACTTTTTTTCTCCGATATTTTGATTTCTGTAAATATTTCTGTTGACTTTTTTTTTTTACTGTAAAAACAAAATAAAATTTGTGAGTATTTGTGAGGTTTTTCTTGTTTTTATTCTTGTACTGTGCAAACATGCTTCTATGTTTCTGATTAAAAAAACACTTTCCGTAGATTTTAAAGGTCCATTGTGTTGGATTTAGTGGCATGTAGTGGTGGCCGCAGAAAACCCAAACGCTCCTATCTAGAGCCGGTTGGTTTGTCCCTTCTGGGCTACCGTACAAACACGGCAGTTCAACATGGAAGGTGACCAGTTGTAAAATGTCTTTAGTGACTCTGTAAAAGCTTTAATAAGTCTTAAAAATGTCATCAAGGTTATCTCAGTGTTACAAACTGGGGACATGGAGTTTAAAGGATTTATTTACCAAGCAGAGGTAGAGATTCTTGAAGCATTACCAATACATAATCAATACTTGGGACTAAAACTGAAGATCTCTTCTTGTTCTGCTTCAATTTTGACCATCATTTCTTTTAATCTGTGTCCACACTTCATGCAAATGCAATACAAAATCACTAAAGCATGTCCCATATGGGAGCGAGTAGCTGGAATAAAAACACTTATAACATCAAAGTGAACTCGTCATTACAGCTCAGAAAACAAACCTACGGACACCTTTTTAATTCAGTGTCACTTTGGTATGAAATCATTGGAGAGAAATGACTTCAGATAAGCCATGACTGAGCCTCCTGACAGCCTGTCTCTAATGTATTCAGTGTCTTCTCACCATAACAGACTTGTTCTCCCCAGTTTTCACAGCTGAAGCCTGTCCGCTGACGGTACAGCCAACACCAACCTTCACAGATGGGCTCTGGGGACAAAGCTCGTTACCAGAACAGGGGTCTGTGGTCTTGGCTTTAGAAAATGGGGAGTAATGAATTTACTGTAAAGCATTTGGGCTTCCTTTTTCTTCTTCTAACACATGATTGAGATGTTTACTTTGTTGACTCAGCTTTACCTTTTATGGGAGCTGCCAGGAAAAAGAGAAACTGATGACTCATGCATTATTAAAAGATACAAACACTCATGGTAATTCAAATTTATGAAACATTAAGTCAAAAAGAATTAGTCACAATTTAGGGATAGTGAATCAAAAATGTTGAGATAGTCAAAATAAGATATTTTCAGTCACTAAGTCTTAATTATGAAATATAGTAAAAGTATAATATGTAACATTTTATTAATAGATACTGAAGAAATATGAGTGAAAGTCAAAATTGTTAAATATATCAAGTAAAAAAGTATGAGATAATCACTACAAATTATGAGATATGAAGTCATAATTATTGTTTATTGGGAATCTCCATTAGTTGTTGCCTTGGCAACCACTCCTCTTACTGGGGCCACAAGGGTTTTAAGATATAAAATGCAAAAACACTGAGGCAGAAAGTCAATACTGTGAGATAATAAGCCAAAGTTTGAGATAATTAATCAAAGCTGTGAGATTATATGGCAAATTTTGCCTTACTATAAGTTAAACTTAATAAAATACTGAGTCTTATGAGCATTAAAATGGTGGTTTACTAAGTCAAAACTAGATTTGATTGTGAGATTTATATTACAAATATATCTTACAATGTGGATTGTTACATGGCAGATCTCTTCTTGTGAGTGTAAATATAAATAACATACAGTTATTATCAAGCTCACTGTACAACATATAACATTATCCACTGATGTGCACTATTAATATACAGAAGCCTATATTATTGTATCATTGTAAATATTAGAGTGTCTTTTAAAGCTTTTATATTCTCATATTTAATTTATTTGTAGGTGTTATTCTACATTATTTGGCTTTTTCTTGCTCTCTTTGTTTTGAGTCTTGCTGAAGTGGCTGCTATAAAACTACAATATAAACCTTAACATGTTTGTTACTGTTGTTATTTATTTACCTTTTATATATGATTACATATCTCCCCCACCCACCCACTGCACTCACCCAACCCCTGCTCAGTCTTCCACAGCTAGAGGGAGACAGTGCTTTCTTGTGGGACGCCTTGGCCGCTCAGAGGACCGTCTTTGCCGACATGTCCTTGTTTGTGCGTTTTAATCAGCGATTGGAAAATAACAGGTAGCCTCGTCCGTCCGCCTCTCGCACCCATACACACCCAGGAGGAGGACGAAGGGGGGAAAGAAATACCACCCCAATAAACCCCCCTTTTGACTCTATTATTGCCTCTTTTTCCTGCGCATTTGTTATTTTTTTAAATAATTTTTTTTGGGGAGAGAGGTGGTGAGGTGAGGAGGTGGAGGAGGAGGAGGTGGAGAGGAGGGAGATTGTGCCCGACAGAAGGAGGCAGTCCGCAGGGTTACAACAGCCGGGTTGAATCGCAACGTGTTTTTTGTACCGACTGTCACCGCAGTTTGGGTGGTGGTGGTGGTGGCGGTTCGGGGAGGGTGGGGGGAGTTGGTTTTGTGTATTTATATGCAAACAGGGCTGGTCTTTTTAATGGGGCTGCCGTCAGCCCGTCTCCCAGCCTCTGGACAGATGATCTCCGGGATTCACGCCTGAATTTAGACCCATTAAAAAGACGACATTGTGGATATGGAATGGTGCATGCCGCTGGGCCAAGTTTTCAGCCTCTGAAAAACACCGGAATCATGGACAGTCATCCGCTGTAAGTGCAAAGAAGCTGACTGTATGTGTATGTGTGTGTGTGTGTTACTGTATGTGTGTTGACGTTTTTCCCAGTGGCTGCTTGACTGATGGTGCCGCATTGACAGAGACAGCGGCCAGCCGGTGTGTCTGCTCACTGACCGGTGGGAGGAGGAGGAGGAGGAGGAGGGGGACCGCCGGTGGTCACTGATACCCGGGGACTGATACCGAGCCTGTCAGCAGCAGATTAATGTGTGAGAGGGAGGATGAGTGTGTGTGTGTGTGTGTGTGTGTAATGTTTATGATTTGTTGAGGTGTTTTATGGCAGAAGAGAGGTTTTTTTCTTTTCTTTTACTGTATGTGTCAGCTTTCTATATTAGCCATGTGTGTGTGGGTGTGTTTGTGACAGAAAACAAGGGGCCACGTGATTTTACCATGAGCTGTATGTTTAGTGTCAGTGTTGGATGTTTTATTATGAAAGAGAGAGAGAGTACATACACAGTTTTGAGCTACTTTACTTACATTTTCTGGTGTTTTATAGTTTTACCCCCCACAGTAAACTCCACTACATTTATTAGCTTTATTTTACATACAAAAACATATAAAAAAGGCTTATATAAATACCCTATTATCAGGAGTTTCCAACTTTTTCTCATGGCTCATGACCCCTAAAATTCTAATGATTACTTAATAATAATTGTTTCACAGAATAGTGCTATGATTAGGGGAAGTCCAAACTCTGAATACAACTTTCCTTTGTCCTTTTTTTAAATTTCTTATCTCATAAAACCCTCAGATTTACCCCCCTTTAACTTTAAAGAAGTTAAATCAGCTCCACCACTTTAAATGTTGTATTTGATGCATCAGTATTAACAGTTTAAAAGAAATCCCTCCCAGAGAGGTGAGAAAGAGACTTTAAGTACATTTTGTCCGTAATATGTCTGTATTTTTTGAAAGAACAAGTTTAATTGAGTATTTTTACATTAATGTATTTGTACTTTTACTCAAGTAAATACTTTCCCCATGCAGTACTGCTGAATAGTAGTTAATGGTGTTCATGTATTTGTCATTTGAAGTGCTGCAGCATCTACAAATTCAAATTTGTCACTCAGTGGCGACTTAATTAAATCAAGGCTGGTTAATCTCCAGACCTCAAAAAGCCCCACGTTCACTGTGTGGTAATTGGTATCTGTAATTTGATTTATTGCTTATTTGTTAAGGAACAAAAGTACTAAATCCACAATCACCAGCCCTTCATTATTAACTCATGTTGTGGCCCCCGTCTGGTAGAAGGTCCGCCTGCCAAAAGATCACCTACAGACTTTAAATATTACGTTTATTTTGAGCTCAAATGGTGTGTATTCCTATAAATAATCAAATCACCTCAAACCAGTTGACACTTATGAGTGCCGAGGCCAGCTGGTGTTATTAATCCAGTACAGGTTGAGTCTTTATTTGATGGTAACTTGGAAGAAAGAGGGGTACGTATGCGCTGCACAGAGGGTGGGAGGTGAGTTGAGGGTGTCACTAGGAGCCAGTTTATTAGGCACTGCTAGCTAAAACTAATGCAGCCTAATACCAGGTCTCCCTCGGAAAAGAGCTTTCAATCTCAAAGGACTTCCTGGTGGAATAAAGGTTAAATAAATAAAAATTAAATACAACAGTCCTGCAGTAAAAGCCTTTCATGCAGGGTTATAATAGGGTTTTATAGAGGTGTTGATTCAACTTTATGCTCATTTTGGAGGATGTAGTGTGTGGTACTGTTGAATTGTATTAATTTAGGTTATAATGAGAGGTAGTTTTTAATATTCGTTATATTCTAATATATATATTATATATTTTAATAGATCTCAATACAATGGAGGTGAGTGGAATTTGACTTGTGGTGCTCACAGCATTAAAAAAATGACATTTAACAGCAACATCTGTCCCCACAATCAAAGGCCCCAATTACTTTATAATCCAGTTTTCATGAGGACAGTGTCTGCAGAAGCAAAGCAACATCTCAAAACCTCAGAAGATAAAGATAAACCCACGTGGCGAGAACCCCTAGAGACAAATGAAATTTCTAATCGCAGTTGCTACAGTTCTGACTCATATGACGTTTCATGCCACAGCAGGATTTATCACATACTAATCAGTCATATCCCAGTTAACCTTTGACCTCCATTTCCTTTTCTTCACATACTGCTTGGTGTTGGTGATGATTTGGATAGATAACCTGCAGATTGACCCTCTTTTATAGCTGACAAATGCTGCAAATTGACATTCAACCTGGTACTTGAAGCAGTGTTTGGAACTGATATAAATAAAACTATCACGCAGGAAAAGAGTTTATATTATTCTGTGTCATCGTGGTCATGGAGAATACTTGTTTCTGATTGGCCGGCATGTGTCCAGGACATTTTATTACAATTATTACAGTAATTGTTGTGATACTGTGAGAAATCTACTCATTTTTATTGTATTGGAGTGGAGGCAGAAATCATATATCCTGGACCAATAAAACCAAAACTATCGGCATGGCTACAGTAGATACCACGAGAGAGAAAGTAAAAAAATATGTGTTTTGTCCTTTATGTTTTTTTCTAAATCATTGTGTGTTGCATTGTGTTATATTAAACTGGAGGCATCAATAGCAACAGTATATGGTAATTGCTACAGTTCCTCCTTGCTAACGGTCAAACCAACTCTCACCTGTCTGTGATGGATGAACACAGCTTCTCATTTTCCTTGTTTTAAGTTGCCCTTGTGTATGAAAAATAATACACTCTGAGATGTCATGTTATAGAAAATAACAGCTATATTCATATATAAGGACACCACGTTGTGTATTATGTACACAGTGGTTTCCAAACTAGGGTCCAGGGTCCAGGGTTGTAGGGGGTCCCCAGCAAAGGGAGGAATGTAATAGTTTAACCTTTATCACATTTCTTGTAAGTTGGAACAACAAGGGAAGAAACTGTTGACTGTTCTGATTAATCTATAGTAATCCTACAGACTTTATCCCCTGTATTAACATTGCTTTTCTCCCGTTTCTGCCCTCAGTTATGAACAATATAATAATCTACATGCATTATTACTGAGTCATTTTCTGTTAATGTGTGTGAATGTTGGCTTTCTCCATGTATATATGTATCTGTTCTGTCTCTCTTTAGGTGCACTAGACTTTGTCCACACACTCTGGACAAAGAAGATGGAGTCGAGAGGCAAGGTCCTGTCACTCTCAACCCTCGGCACATGAGGAAGGCGTTCAAAGTCATGAATGAGCTGCGCAGGTGATGCAGTTCTTTGTTGTTTTATCGTCCCCCCAAATCCTCCGGGTGCCGACCATTTTAAACTTTAACCCCTCGCCTCTCAATCTCTTAAATGCCCCTTACAGCCAGAGCTTGTTGTGTGACGTGACCATAGTGGCGGAGGATGTGGAGATCGCTGCTCACAGGGTGGTTCTGGCTGCTGGGAGCCCCTACTTCCACGCTATGTTCACAGGTGAGGACTCTACTCACCTGTGATGCTGCACCTACATGCTGCCGGACATCTGGTGGGAGCTTTACACCCACATTTGTCCTGTGTGGTAATGGATGTCTAACACGTGTGTACCAACAGGTGAGATGGCAGAAAGCAGGGCGAAACGAGTGAGGATAAAGGAGATGGACGGTTGGACTCTGGGCCTGCTGGTAGACTACATCTACACAGCAGAGATACAGGTCACAGAGGATAACGTGCAGGTAAGCCGACACATATTTATACTCATGTAAATGCATTATGTGAAGACTTGCATCCTGTTATTCCACCGGTCAGTGGAAACACAGCCACTTCTTTTTAAATATTCCACATTTGTAAGGGCTGAATGGTTTGGTCTGTTGGTTTCATTATCTGGAACTTAATGCTATTTTAGTGACTGTTTACATGCACACACACAAAAAAACATCTTACATCTTAAACCCCAGCTGACAAAGAGCTGGTCAGTAAGATAAGTAAGATCGTTCATCTTTAAAGTATCTTCAGTGGTGACTATACCCTACGATAGCTTCCCACCAGTGAAGTTATCACACATCTTTGAACAGTCCCGCCTTTCTGAGCTCCATATCAAATGAAACTTCCTGTTTTTTCCCATAACTGATAACCAAACTAGCTGGTTTCGCTTTAACGGTTCTTATATCCAACAACCTGTTCTGACTGCATTGACGAAATCATGATACTGTGTCAGGCGACAAGTAATCAGTAAACAAAAAATGACTGCAAATAGAAAAGTGAGAAGTTTTTATTTCTTCTAGTGACATTTCATTTATCACAACCAATAACCACTAAGTGAAAGATGTTGCATTACTTTCCAACATGACCCCAAGTCTTTATATATATATATATATGCATAGTGTAGAAATGAGTCTTCTTTAGCAGAAGTGTCACTGGGTTATACTTTACCTGCTACATTAACGTAGAAATTTGAGATTTCCTGATACCATGTTTTCCTTTCCGATACCGGAACTTAAAAAATATATTATTATTATTTAACAAGGATATACTACTAAGCTTATTACTATTATTCTTCTATGGCCCGCCTCTGGTTAAACCCTTTGTCAGACTCAGAGTAAGGCGGGTCAGGATTTTCCTATCCTGGGGAGAAAAAAAGGTCAACAGGACATTGCTGGGAAGTAGCAGTCTCCTGTTTTGGGGCAAATAAATTACATAGTATCAGATCACAGATAGACACATGTACTCGTTGGTAACTAAGTATCGGAGGAATTCACAAATCTGTTTCCATGATTCATACTGATGCTGAGATTGCTACTGAGGTTAGGGAATAATCAGATCACTACTAAAAATATCTCTTTATTTCACTTGATGAATGGTTCTCACATGTTAAACTCCTCACTCGCCCACGGGGGAATTCACTCTTTCTTGGGAGGTGTAAAAGATTTAAACTTTAAGGAATTTTGCAATTCTTACTACCGTTATTTACAGTTCAGTTTAGAAACACCTTGTACTGTAATCCACACATATGCAATTTGTTGGAGGCGTTTAGTTTCTCACTTAAGGAAACTGTAGCAGGGACAAGCAGGTAATTTTAGATTAACTAACATAAAGATGGAGTCTCTACACACCAGGCCACCCTGTCACCCATTTAACTGAATTCATATGTATTATATAGAAACAAAACTACCACTTGGTGCAAAAAATTCTGTGTGTTTGTGTGTGTCTGATAGGCGTTGCTGCCTGCAGCTGGCTTGCTCCAGCTGAATGAGGTAAAAAAGGCTTGTTGTGAGTTTTTGAGCTCTCAACTTCATCCATCCAACTGTCTGGGAATACGAGCCTTCGCTGATCTACACGCCTGCTCTCAGCTCCTAACGCAGGCGAACAGCTACGCAGGTTTGTGTGTGTGCAGAACTATTTTTATATATATATGTGTGAGTGTGTGTGTGTGTGTGTGGACAGCTATCATTGCTCTACTAAAATTGGTTTGTGTGTGTGTCCCGGAGGAAGTGGGACAGTGGATGAGACAGAATGAGAGCAGGTGTAATTAAAGAAAATATTGAGAAACACAGTTTTAAAGATTCACCTCCAGTCACAAAGTAGTTTTTTCATGACAGAGCAACATTTCACTGAGGTGGTTGGGAGTGAAGAGTTCCTCAATTTGGGCATGGAGCAAGTGTCCAGCCTGATCGCCAGCGACAAGCTCACCATCCCCACAGAGGAGAAGGTATTCACACACACACACACTCTCACCCCTCTCAGTATACTCAGGTAGGACAACACAACCAAAAATGATTACACCCTGATGTGCTTAAAGTGTGTCTGTGTACTTGATTGTGTAGGTTTTTGAGGCAGTGATAGCTTGGGTCAACCACGATAAAGATGTCCGCCAGGAACACTTGGCTCACCTGATGGAACACGTCCGCCTGCCGCTTCTCTCCAGAGAATACCTGGTGCAGGTATGAGTGTCTGTATCTGTGTGTTTTTTGTGTTTGTTTGTGCTCTTAAACTGAATGGAAATGTTGATCGGTCAACTGGTGTCTGATAGGTCCAGCTAATCCGGGACTTTCAGGGGTTTAAAATGCAGCTGCGTGCTAAACCGGGCCTTTGTGTCTACTGTAGTCCACATCTTCCACATTGTGGTACAATTAATCAATACGAGCTAGCGCCATTACACGGTGAGTGATGTTGTGTGCACGATCATTGAGATCCTCACCCTAAACAGTGGCCCGATGACTCCACATTCATAAAGAACTTAGTTCCAACAGTGAATTACATTAACTTAAGCACTAAACATAAGATTAAGGCTGCACAATAAGGTAAAAAAAAAAAATCATATTGCAATTATTTTAAGATAAGACTTTATTGATCCCACACTGGGGGAGTTCACTTGTTACAGCAGCTCCAGATAGCACAGAGCAGATAAGAAAAAAAGAAATAAACATTAAATAACAAAATAAAATGGAAAAATACAAGCTATAAAGAAAAAAAAATTAGGATTGTATGTACACTATATGCAGTTTTATACAGATGTCATTTAAGTTAAAATATAATATTGCAGAAGGTAGTTTAATGTTGTAAAAATAAATAATTGAACTGGACAAAAAAAATATATATATATACAGCAGTATTTAGCAGAATTATATAGACTAGACAGGGCTATGAATATACAGTACAGGTCTAATTACTAATGTGCTGTAAGAGTTCTGACAGATATTGATTGCGATAAGATTCACCATTAGTGGGAATAATCCTTTTTGCCTCACAATTTTCATTTTCACTGAAGAAAAAAGTTAAAATCCTGATGATTTCAGACTCACTACCATTAAGTAATACTGTTATATTTAAGTCTAATGTACATCATATTGTAGCACATTTGTTTCTTTTCAGTCGACTGCAGTATCAGTAATCTAGTCAGATATACAGAGTTATCTTAACATCTTATTTAAACTTCAGTGGGTCTGAAAATAAATATATGATTATTTGTTTCTGTGACTTCTACATTACTGGCAAACTGGACTAACTGAGGAAGAAGTGACACCTTTAGTTGTAGACTATAGAGGGTCGACGCTTGCTTTTAGCATTGAAATGTTAATAACATGATCTAAATTTTATGAACCTGTCCTTACACTGATTTTATGACCTTAAACCTCAGTTAAACCAGGTCTACAGTAGTAACAGATACAGTGGCCTTTACAGGGGTTCAGGTAATCTCTACAAGATGCCAAAACACTGGTGGTTTAAACCGCAGCCTCAGAGGACACAGTTATTCTACGATCGAAGGCAGAAGAGTTTTTAGGTTTTAAGCTGCAGAACACAGACGGTCATTCGTTGTCAGTAGCATTTCTTGCTGTGGCTTGTGTTGCGTGTTTTGATCACACTTGAACCACTGCAGCTTAAGAAGTGCTCTGTACTTAAGTGTCAGTCTTGTTTCAACAGCCAGGCAGGATAAATACTCTCTGTCTCTGTTTGCAAGCACACAGCCAGGCAACATGTTGTTACGTATCCAGTTTACAGGAGACGTCGCCCAACTTGTTTTTTTCTGTTCTTGTTGAAACGTGAAAAGTGGCAAAAAAATAAATAAATCAGATCATGTCTTTTCTCACAGTAAATGACACATAGTACGATTTGGTGTGAAATACTTAGCTGCCATCTCCATAGATTGTGCATAGTGTAATAAAATATGATATATTAATATGTATAATAAAACTTTTGACTTTAAAAAAAGAACATTTAAAAAGAAAACTTAGGTTAAAGAAAAGAGAAAAAGGAGAAAACAATAGTGTAAGCAAGTCATTAAGTGGATATAGAGCATGGGATATGAAATTGGCTCAATATTGGACATTATACAGAACAAAATATAAGTATGGACATTTTACATGATAAAAATATAGAGCTAGATGTATGTAAAGTGGAGAATCATGTATACAAGAGAGTAGTACCATATCATCAGGCAGTATTGGAACCAGGATTTTAATGGTAGCAAACCGAGCAACGCTAAACTTTCTTGTTAATATTACACCCACAGAGTGAATTTTGCAGCTGCTTCCCTCTCACAGACAGGTTATTACAACAAGAATGTTCTGTATGCGTGCTGTTGATTGATTCACTTTCATTGCAAACAAAACAGCTGTGTAACTTACATTTGTGTCTACACTGTGCTGCATGTAAAACATAATCTATATACTCTGTATCTGTGGTTCTCAACTGGCCTCATCTTGAAAGGGTGCTGTTAGATATGAACACACTGTCGACATTGTCATTATACACACACCATCATACAACTAGTAAACACACATGCATTGTCACCTTTTAAACCTAAAACATACACATATTTTCATCCCTGCAATCAGAGCACATAACTCTAATAACAGAGTATGAACATCACAACTGTGTACTGCTGATTCTTATGAATATGAATAATATTAACAGCATTACTGTGTCAAAACAGGTCGGACTTCACATAGTTAAGCATTTAAAATAGGTATTTTTTGACCACCAATTCAAAACAAGTCTGCGACCCACCAGCTGAGAAAGCATTCTCTATATAATAACACTATAGGATGTTATCAGTGAAGGTGAGGAAAGATCATTTTTGTTGCCTGTGAAGGAGAAAATAAATCCAATGCTGCTACTTCAAAGGCTCAAATTAAACTATCATTGGATTGAACTGGTTCCTCTCTCACTGGTTTGTTGTGTTAGCGGGTGGAGGAAGAGTCTCTGATTAAGAACAGCAGCGCGTGTAAAGACTACCTAATCGAGGCCATGAAGTACCACCTGCTGCCGGCTGACCAGAGAGCTCTGATGAAAACTGCACGCACACGCATGAGGACGCCAGCCTGCTGTCCTAAGGTACCTACATGACTTAGTCCTAATAAATAAGACACAACAACAGTTCATCTACAATTCCTCATGTAATGGCACTGCTGTTTGTGTTGTGTTTAGGTGATGGTTGTGGTCGGAGGCCAGGCTCCCAAGGCCATCCGCAGTGTTGAGTGTTACGACTTTGAGGAGCAGCGATGGTACCAGGTAGCCGAGCTCCCGACCAGGAGGTGCAGAGCAGGTAGGAAACCCTCGATAAACAGCGTCACAATCGAAGAGGCCGCATCCTCTGAGGAAGGCAGACTTGTAAATATTTAGTTAATAAAATGTGTCACCAGGAACTTGCCCTCAAACAGCCACTGAAGTGTAAATAATGATAAACTGGACAGGTTTCATGACACATTACCAGTGTTATTGGCAAATGGTGTACAAGGTTAATATTTAATATACTGTATCCGTTTAACTTCAATAAATGTGTGGTTGATAACATCTGGCGAGAAGTAAATGTGCAGTTCAGGCCTTTTAGTGGGTTTTCCATTGATCTAAATCTAGGGATGTTTTTTCCTGTTAGAGCTCATATGGTGAGGTGATATTTCCAGATTTTATGAGTTGATGAGATTCACCTGAACAGTATTTAATTTGGAGGGTATGTCCTCCAAATGCAGGTGGCTGTATTTCTCAGCAGTGTAAGAGGGGGAACTGGCCTTGTCCACCCATTATGGTGTATTCAGTTTTTAAGTACAGACACAGTCTGTGGTAACTTCTGTCTTTAGATGCAACAATCAGATGGGTACGCTATCAGGTCAGATCCATTTGCAATTAAAATCCTGTGACATTCTTGCTTGTTTTTAAGTATTTTGTATTTAAAGGTGATCTTCCATACCCGTCGATGCCCCCTGGTGGCGTGTTTCTGACTATTTTCCACTGTATTCGTCCAAAGACACGTGGAAGTACTCAGATCTTTTACTAAATAAACCCCTGTAGTAATACTACAGTGTAAAAATAGTACAAGTAACATCCTTCATTCAGAATTTTATTTAGGTAAAAGTACATAATTATTAGCATGTAAATATACTTAAAGTACCAAACGTTAAAGTACACATGATAGAGAATGGCCCATTTCAGAATAATATATATTATATGATTGGATGCATTTATGTTTAAGCATCACTAATGTTGCAAAGATCAGACTAATCCACTTTCTTTACTGCTGGGTAGCTTTATCCATAAAAATACATATCATTTATTAGTTCATGTTTATTTTGTAATTAGTAACTACTAACTAATGTCAAATAAATGTAGTGGAGTAAAAAGTATAAAGTAGCATAAAATTCAGTAAAGTCCTTCAAAATTGTACTAAAAACTACACTGAAAACAATATAAGGAAGCAAAAATGTGTCATTGTCACTTCTCCATTCTCAAAGATATACACCTATTGCAGGTTTATTTGTACAAAAGGGGACAAATAATTAAGGAAATTCTTACCCAAGGATTATTTCAAATGTGATGGGAAAGACACAGAATCAACATCAAAGTTTGGTTGGACTGTATTGATCCTCAAGGGGAAATTCACAAAACAAGTGATCTCCACCAAAGATTACCCTTCTTTTCCATTTTATGACTTTTCCACTCTGAGGTTGCTCCAGCATTTCATCCTCACTAGACCATACTGTTTGTTTGTGACTCTTCTTGTAGATATTTGTGTTTACCTGTGTATTTTCTGTGTTGTTGCCTTCAGGTGTGGTGTACATGAGTGGGTGTGTGTATGCAGTTGGTGGTTTTAACGGTTCTTTGCGCGTGCGGACGGTCGACTGTTACGACCCGATGATGGACCGCTGGACGAGCGTGAGCAGCATGCAAGACCGCCGATCAACGCTGGGGGCTGCTGTGCTCAACGGGCTCCTGTACGCTGTGGGGGGCTTTGACGGCAGCACAGGTACAGTGTGTTGGTGTGAATCAACAATCCCTAAAGGCCTTTATTTGGTTTAATAACAGGAATTGATCAGCTATGTGATTGTTAATGCAGTTTTTTGATGCCTGCTCTGTGTGTTTTTGCAGGTCTGTCGACAATCGAGGCGTACAACGCGAAGACAGACGAGTGGTTCCACGTGTTACCCATGAGTACCCGACGAAGCAGTGTAGGAGTGGGTGTCGTCAATGGTGAATACAGTTCCCAGTTCAGTTTTAGATCAGAGGGTGGACAAAATAACAGAAACACTGAATAAACCAGAGCCGTTGAAGCCATAGTTTGTAGACACAGCCATACAAAAATACATTATTGGACTCTGTAGTGTTGTTACTATAAAACACAGGAAAACGCCATTAACAAAGCGAGAGAGTAGATCAACTCAAAATGAAGGACACTTAAAGGTCCAGTGTGTAGGATTTAGTGGCATCTGGCGGTGTGCAGATTGCAATTCACTCACTTCACCCCTTTTCAAGCAAGAAGGAGAAACTATGGTGGCTGTGAAATGTGTGTCTTTTTAAACTTTTTAAATATTGTATTTTAATGTGTTTCTATTATGTCCACCACTGTGCCTCCCTCATCATAAGTCATTAGAAATATAACAACTACATGAATTTCACGCGTGTTTTTCAGGGATCCTGTATGCAGTTGGTGGCTACGATGGTGCAACCAGACAATGTTTGAGTACAGTAGAAGCTTACAACCCCAAAAGCAACACGTGGAGCTACATTGCAGAGATGGGCACGAGACGCAGTGGAGCAGGTGAGTGTTGGTGGTTTTGTTTTTACATTTGTAAAGCCAAAACACAGATTCATCCATCAAAACAACATCCTATAAGACATAATGATGCTGCTCTACTGATTGAATGGTGACCAGATCTTGTAAATGTCATCCTCAGGTGTGGGTGTGTTAAAAGGTTTACTGTATGCTGTTGGGGGCCATGATGGTCCATTGGTGAGGAAGAGTTGTGAAGTTTATGATCCGGCCTCTAATAGTTGGCGACAGGTAGCTGACATGAATATGTGTCGACGTAACGCAGGTAAAGCAAAGCGACATCCTCAGGTTTGATTGGTTACTCCGTTAGATGTCCATTAATCTCCATTGTATGTGTGTGTGTTTTCAGGTGTGTGCACTGTAAATAACTTGCTCTATGTGGTGGGAGGAGACGATGGCAGCTGCAATTTAGCCTCTGTGGAGTTCTACAATCCAAACTCAGACAAGTGGACGCTACTGCCGACCTGCATGAGCACAGGACGCAGTTATGCAGGTGTGTAAGCATACATGCTGCTAACT